GGGGGCTGGGGCCAGGGGGCAATCGAAGCTCGACCACGCCTACTTTGCTTTTGTCGGGGAAATCTGACTACTCGTCGGGGGAAATCGCCTCCCCCCTTCCGTCGGGCAAATCCTGGCGCCACCCCTGCTCTATGTAGCAATGTGTGCACGGATATTTATTTATTTATTACCAATTCTACATATAGATGAATAATATGCAATGGGTAAAATTACTTGGAGAGAGTCTAGAGCAAGACATGGGCAAGGCCCGGAATACAAAAGGTGGTCCACTGATCATATGGTAAAGTGTAATTCATGCATGAAAGTAAAAACAATACAAAAAAGCCTGAATTTAAAAACAATGTTAGCAAGAGGGCTTCCAGTTTTCAATAAAAGATAAGGCAGCAGACAATTTAACAGAAAATGGTGCTAGGAGGAAGAGTTTTCTACAATTTAGAGGGATCTATGGGATTAAAAAAAAAAGGATAAGCCACACTTGCAGGGCAATTAGAGAAGAAATATTTAGTAAAAAGTAAAACACGGCTAACATTTCTTCTGACCTCCAAGGGAATAAATTAAATAACCTCAGGCTGTCCTTATATACTCCGCATTGGTATGCTGGGGCCAGATTTATCAAACTAGAAATCGGCTTAAAAGTTCATTTTTTTTTTTGCTTAAGTCAAATTTATCAATATTGCTTAGCTCATGCTTAAAAATAAAAAGTCGACTGTACGCATGCACCATCTAAGACAATTTTTAAGCTAAGATTTTGCTACGGATGTTTGATAAATCAGCTTAGGATATTTGCTTTAGGGACATCTTAACCTTTTTGACTTAAGACATTCTAAGCTGAGATTGATAAATCCCGGGTCTGGGCCCCAGTAGCACATGTTGCTGTAAAATAAACATTATTTTTAACTTGAAACGCAATTGGCCTTGCTCATGTAACGAGTTACCGTAACTTATAAACTAACATCAACTTTCCGTCCGACTCTACGATATTAATTTGCCGATCCAAACAACTATATTTTGATAGCCAATCCAATTGTGGTAAAAAATCACATGGTCGAACCTTTACCGTAAGATTTCCCCCCATGAACCTCACCCCAGGGATTTTATTCCGGGACCCTGAACAAGGCTCTAGGCATCCCCTTGTTTTAGACCCCGATCAGAATTGTTGGACCCCCTATCGACATTTTCCTAATTTTTCCTGATTTTACAAACATTTTGCTACTGTCAATTAACTGTCTGTTAATTTACAGGAAAACAATTTTGTCATTCATATATTTAATTGTAATTTTGTAACTTACTTAAATATAATTATTCAGTTGTGGAATTAATTTGTTTATCTTTCAGCTCAACAGACAGTGTATACCGTATTTTACTACAAAATCCTTAAATCGACAGTCTATGTATAAATATGAATATAGTACTGGATAATTTAACTGTCTGTTAATTGACAGGAAAACAATTTTGTCTTTCATATATTTAATTGTAATTTTGTAACTTACTTAAATATAATTATTCAGTTGTGGAATTAAATTGTTTATCTTTCAGCTCAAGACAGACAGTGTATATTTAAATTTTACCTCATTGGAAATGAGCTGGTCTCCGGCCTAATGGGCGTTCCTGATACTCATTACGGTAATTTTTACTTTTCTTGATCTCAATCCATTTGTTATCTGGCTTATGCATGTTGAGCATCGAATAAATTCAATCAATTAATCAAAAAATATTATATCATGAAAAATGTTTGTATGAAGATTATAGTTATAGTATTATGTTTATTGTTTGAATATACTGTATTTATGAATCTATAGGCCTATATTCATTTCACACTTTAAAAAAATTGTATTTACCCATGACAATCCGAATGCTAACATAATTAGCTTGCGCTATTGCGATGTACTGGTCCTACCCAATGCCTTGTGTTTAATAATCCATCACATCATTCCGTGGTATGATGATACTATAAATAATTGATATTTAATATGATAATGCTATCAGATTAGTAATGAAACCATTTAATTTATGGAGGGTCATATTTGACATAGAAGATTTAACACGAAATGGAGCCATTTCGACCCTAAGTATGGAGTACTAACAGCAGTTTAAAAACATATATAAGCATATAGGTATATATACATACATTCAACACTTACTGTATATGATGCAAATTTTCGGTCCGTCTGGACCCTCTTCAGGCGTAGTCCGATCGTCGTCTGAACCACGTTACGTAACATGTTATGCGGAAACGGAGACGAACCGATTGGTTCAGACGACGATCGGACTACGCCTGAAGAGGTTCCAGACGGACCGAAAATTTGCGTCATATACAGTTAGTATTGAATGTATGTATATATACCTATATGCTTATATATGTTTTTACACTGCTGTTAGTACTCCATACTTAAGGTCGAAATGGCTCCATTTCGTGTTAAATCTTATATAATATGATAATGCTGATATGATAAAGAATTGTGAAGTACTATTATGTTGTATCAGCAGCACTGTCCATTGCGATAACTGAAAACGATAGTGTTCAGGTCGGGGTGCTCCCCTTGGGGGTGGGGGTGGCAGCCGGTCTGCACACCCCCCCCCACCCTAAATCTTTTTAAAATGGTAAAAAATTGGAGAAAAAAAGAAAATTACATTCAAATTTAAAATCTGAGAGTGCCATTTCTGGCCATCTAGAGGTGCCATAATCGAAAAATTTCTTACCTCAGCCTCGACCATGGTGGGGCTGAGGTGGTGGTGAAGTCCATCCCCGTGGCCCCCCTCTATTTTAAACCACTGGCTCTGTCTCTGTTTATATATTATGTTTTGATGATACTCCGTTATAATTCTTTCTCTGTTCCCAAATCTTTTCTCATATTTTTCTATTCCAGTGATGTAGACAAAGAAGCCACAACTATTAGGAAAGAATATCCGGACTCAATCGTGAAAGGGCAACAGAACTTACCAATTATTCATAGATAGCCAAAAATTGTGTCACTCATAGAGCTTCCTGGCAGCTGGGTTTTCCGGGCAAGAAATTCTGGATATAAAATTATGCATATGAAATTAATTAAAATATAGTGTAAATTTTATTTTTTTTAATGTTTCCTCTGCAATAATCTCAAAAATATATGTTAGCAATATGTAGTAATTCTTGTAGGCTTTATGTTTATTAATATTGTATTATTACTGATAATGTTTATCTTAGTAATAGAGAAAGCAACCCGTTTGTTGTAAAGAACATAGGCATGTAAGATAATAATATAACATTTTGAGGATTAAAAATCAGATTTATTGATTTTTGCCGGATGTACATAATATTGGCCTACAGTATATAAATATAAAATGTATAAATTATATCACAACTTGATTTCAATGCTTGAAAATAAATATCAAATGGAATTGTGCATTTCTTCTCATCTTATTTAATGTCTATGTTTTGGCGTACTGTAATAAATTTAATAGCTAAAATATTCTTATTATAATAAGCTTATATAAGCTTAAACCAAAAGTGAAGAATTGCTTTATCAATATGTGCTAATTTATCTATTAAACTAGCATATTCTTTCGAGGACGCCCTCAACAAAACATAAAACAGGAAATGACGTGGTTGCTAAGCAACAAGCTCATGCATAATCATGAATATTCAGTGACACCTGTTCTAATTAGACTAACAATAAAATCTTTTTGGTCGATTTTGTCAAAACTGAGCTAAAACTTTTTATTGTTAGTCTAATGAGCACAGGTGTTACTGAATATGCATGCGCTGTAGCCTAGCAACCGACGTCATTTCCTGTTTTGTAAAAAACGACAGCCCCTCAGCTCTGAAAAGTTTCGTAATTTGTTGGTGTCATGTGAATATATTTGGAAAGAGTGTTTATAAGATATAGTAGCGTAATAGTGCTACCTGTATATTTGAATCGAAGTGATTATAATATATTAAATTCGATTATATAGGCCTACTGATTAACAATCATGAAATATATATTATTATTAATGCAATTACGACAAAGGAAGTACACACAATGATGTATTTTAAATATACAGTTTACTTTTATTTCTTACATACTCGGAAATGTTACAACAGAACTATATAAACGTAATATAAGTAGAATATAAAGATTCTAGTTTTATATAATGTAATATAATATATAAGCCTATATAATGCTTAGGCCTAATTATATTTAATTATGTAATATCGTTCAAGAATTACTTGTTCGTTGTATAAGAACGTAATTGGCAAATTTGATTCAATTCCGGTGATTCTGTGATATAAATCCTAATAAATATCCGCGCGCGATTATTTGTAAAATTAAGACCACATAAATCCGGGTATAAGTTGATAGCATCTTGTGTTCCGGCAATTTAATACACATCGTGTTCCGCTCTGACAATAATTGTACATCGACTTCGCACTTATTGATGGATCGGTAGATTTAACCTTAGACACTGAAATATAAGAGAGATTGAATTAGTAAAAAATACATTCAAACTATTTTCATTTTGGCATCTGTGAAGTTAGGCCTAATTAAGTATAAATTCATACTTCCATGAGATATAGGAATACAAATTCGGAAAATAAAATTGATTGTTTGATTGATTTAATACTTTATGTGAAGTGTACAAGTTAATAAAGTGTTATTTTAATATGAGTGGGTGAGTACGCTCCCCAACATCCCACAACAAACTGAAAAGGTCCAAATTTTAGGACAGTCGAAAATATACTGAATACACACTCTTATGTTTTTGTAGTAAAACTCATTAAAAGCGAATATTAAATCTTAACATTTGAACCAATACTCTATTGGACCCCTGTATCGTCCTATAATAACAAAGTGGGTCCAACCTGCTTTTCCCTTTCACGGCATCTGGAGTTTTAGGTGAACCCTCCCCATTTGGTATGATCATTACATCTTATGTTTCTATCCGAGATGATGATGATGATGATGATGATGATGATGATGATGATGATGATGAT